TATGTTTTTAAAGCATACCGAGTTGATCTCACTTTAGAATTATGCTTTGGAACTATCAATGCAGAAATTCACTTTAAGAAGGCTACCTGTATACTTCTTTTGTTATTTCATGTTATTGCCTGCCCCAGTCCTCTGATTTCTCATCTCTTAGTTCACCTACATGATCTGAGATGGAGAATTATTCGGAGAAGAGGGCAGCAAAATGAAAACAAACTGGCAACTCCTCAACAAAAATGATGATGTGAAGAAAATGATGAAATGAAGGCGACGGAGAAAAATGAGCGGTCACAAAAGTTAGAGAGAGTGCAGAGTAATTCACCTTCTATTCATTGAAAAGAAGGGAAAGCTAAGCCTTTTTATGCACTTTCTATTGTCTTTCACTTGTAACAATTAGATAGTGGGTTCTCTTTAATTCAATGAATCTATTTTGTGTTTTTATCATGTTTCTTGAGTAGACTTCTTATTCTTCCTTGCAATGATTAAGTTGGGTAGATGGAATGAGAATTACTAAGTACTTTAATTAACTAATATGGCATTGATTAACCTTTAGCGCTTAATTTACCTTTCATTCTAGCCATTTGAATTGTTAAAACATGTTGTGAACCATAAGTCTTGGGAAAGTCTGTGGTACAATCAACTAGGATAATCTTGTTAACCTATGGAGTATAGGAATAAGCCTAGTAGAGGGATGCAAATATCAGGTAAATATGCTTTGATGGATTAGCTATAGGATTTATGGTAATAAAGTCATTCAAACAACAAAGACTATTGCTCTTATTTATCACTAGGATTTTTATAGTAGCAATTCTCAATTTCATGAAATCCGATAATCCACTAAGTACTTGACATTTTTAATATAATTGTTATAATTTAGAATTACTTTTGTAGGACTTAAGCTTTTAACTTGCTTTTGATACATTAGGATTGCTTTGTAGGACTATAACAAAACTTAAATTTCAGGCCAGGACTAAAACTAGTAGGCTAGAACTTTTCATAATAAGAATTACCTAGTTTCTTGTGGGGTTAACATTTCAAACTCTAAATCCGATATTACTAATACGACACATGCACTTGCGTGAGCTAACTGTGTGTTGCAGCATTGGGAGTTTGTATCATCTCACACCTGCTAAACACACAAATTAGCAAGGAAAAGATGCTAGCTAGGGCAAATCAAAGAATAATAGCTAGGACATAAAAAAGACTACTTAAACACTCTAGTCTTAGCCTAGCAAACCATCTACCGCATGGTGTCCTAGTCACAACATCCAAGTGTGCGTAAGATATGGGTAAAAGGCTGACCTATGTTATGAATGGGTTTCCGACCTCATCCTAGCTAGGATTCTAAGAGGTGCCGCTAAATAGAAGTTTCGTATGAACAAAAGCTTTAAGAGAATGACCTTATGTATGTTCTAAGATAAGGACACAATAGTTTGAAAGTAGATTTTAAAATATGACACATATATGCAATAAAAAAGTATAAATTTTTTTTATATTTTAAAATAGGTCTCAATAAATGAAAAAAAAACATAAGTGGCACTTAGGATCCCTTGAAACATTAGCATAACATATGCGTGCTAGTCACAAAGCAATAACCGGCATTTCTCACTGAGACATCCTTGCTATCAATACTCATTAACGCATCATGACCAACAATGGGTCACTCAACTAGCGAGCCAGCATTATCGTCGAGACAATCGGAGAATGCATGTGAAGATGCAAGTGATCCAATGTAGTTTGGTTGCTCTATCGAGGTGGGAGTGCTCATTGGATAATAGTTATTCATCACGAGTATATAATGAAATATACTAATGACGAATATGCCAATAATGCAAAGATGTGCATGCAAGGCACACCACATAAGTGATGTTGTTCTAGGCTACGTAGGGTATATAACATCGTAGGGGGATTACACCATGCCTCAATAGTGACCAAGCACACAGGAAAATAACAAGCACATACAATGTGCAATGCACAATGCAAGCAGACAGACACACACTCTATGAAACAGAACGTGCTCACCACAAAGTTGGATGCTGTCGTGGGTGATGGGTGATGTGACTTTTGCACCAAGTGGGTTCAGAGGCTAAGAAGAATGACCCATGCAAGAGGAGAGTCATATACCGAGTGGAAATACATCGTGCACTAGGCGCGGGATCAGAGGCTAAGAAGCATGGCCCAAGCCAAGTAACACGACGATAAACCTATGACGCTCCAAAGTGGCACCGTAAGAAGTGAAGAAATGTAAATCTCGTTGAGGAGAATCACACGTTGGGTAAGCTTGAGGTCTATGCCATCCCCACAGAGGACACATGAGTGTCGAAATGAGTGTGTAAGGACACGAGCTTTTTATCAATATTATCACTTTTAAAATTGATACTGATCTTTGTAGTATTAACAATATTATAACTTTGACTTTATTTTTATTTTCTTCTCATCTTTAAATAGTTTATATATATATATATATATATATTCATGTTTTTATGATGGCTAAAGACGGATTGGCAAACTTACATTAATAATTTTTTATCTATCACAGTAGATTTCACATTACCTAAAGAAATTCCAACACTTGGAAACTTTAATCGGTGAACTTACACTAACAACTTTTCATCCATCACAAAAAGATTCCACAATGCATAAAAAAAATTCCGGCACTTGGAAACTTTAATCACTTCCCAGTTTTTCTAAATATTGTATTTAAATACTATATTTTAAATTACAAAAAGTAGCTCAAAAATGATTTGATTATACAATAGAATCTCCGAAAAAAAATTTAAAGAGCGCAAGCACCCACCTATGAGGTGGTATTTTATATAAATATTATTATAACAAATTTATAAATATATATTACATATATATATTATTTTTAATTAGTTTTTTTAATTTATATGAAGTATTGATTACATTAATTAACATTTAGATAATATTTAAATAATCAATGTATTACTTAGTTTAATTTATTATGTCATAATTATCAACCTATTAAATTATATATTATTTATATTTTTATAATATTATAACTAAGAATAAGGTGAAATTTACTTGTTAATAAATCTTATTAATAGATAATTTTTGTATCTTAGGGTAAAGAGAATAGTACCATGTGGCCCATGAACATTGGCTCTGGCTTACATTAGTCGAGTTGGTCAGCATGTTGCGTGGAGTTATTGGGTACCCTAGGGCTGATTGTTTGCGATTGGAGGTGACCGATATGACTACCATAGGGCTGATTGTTTGCGATTGGAGGTGACCGATATAGAAGTTTAAAGTTATTTCATGGTTTTGAAGGTGGTAGATAACAATGTTTGCAATTTCATTATTTACGATCGGAGTCCATATTTAGAATTTTGATGTTATTTCATGATTTTGAAGATCATCATAGATAGCATCAAACTTAGGGGTGGTCATCAAATAATTTGTTGCATAATGCTGGCCAACTCGACCAACGCAAACCAGGGCCAAGGCCAAAATCCAAGGCCCCACTAGGGCATTTCTATCCACCCTAAGACCAAGGTTAATCTGCTAAAAAAATCTTATCAACTAGTAAATTTTACCTTCTTCTTAGTTATAATATTTTAATAATATATATATATATATATATATAACATATCACACAATGCAATGTATAAGAGTTTATTTTTGCTTTAAAGAGCATTGATTAGTTGATTAATTAAGTAGAATTTAAATGTTAATTAATGTAAATAATATTTAATTATAATTTAATAAAACTAAATAAAAATAATATGTAATATATTTTAATATAATAAGTTAATTATAATATTATATATAATATATTAACAAATTAATTTCAATAATATTTTATATAAAATGGCTTGGGTGGGGTTGTTTCATATATATTGCTTGCGGGGGGTGTACGTCTTGTATAAAACACCGTGTTCGTGCTCCTTTTCGTAAATTGCTCCCCTAATGAGCTTATGTATGAGCTCCTTTTTATATTAATTATGCTTCTTTTATAATACAAAAATAATTACTTATATGATATCGAATTGTTAACATTTTATTTAAAAAAATATATAAATTACAAATGTCAAAGAATCACCTAAATAGACGATATCAAAAATCAATAATAAAAAAAAGATGTTACCGCTTAAATGAATACAGCTATCAATAATATATTAGACCACCTAACACACCTTCAAAATGTTCTTTACAATCAACCCTAACCCTCAAACAAAGGTTGCAAACAAGCCTAGTTGAAGTCGAGCCACCCTCAACTTAAACTTGAGCTTGATTAAATAATCGAGTTTGAGCTCGAGCTCAAGTTTAAATCTGCAAGTTCAACCCAGCTCACGAGAGACTTATTTATTATAAAAAGAGAAAATAATATTAGTTCAAATTTGTGTTGTAAAAATATGATGAAATAATAAACAATTATGAGATAAATAACAAAAAGTTAAGTTAATATAAATATAAAATATCATTTATTAAATATTTTAATAATTTAAAGATAAAATTTTAACATTTAATATATTTTGAATATATTTAATATTACTATTTTCTTAACCGAGTCGGCTCTCGAGCTAATGAGACAAATTAGAGCCGGCTTGAGCCTTGGCTTTTAGCTCATCGAGCTCAGTTCACGAGCAAATTATCTACCTGAGCTCAAACCGGCTCACGAGTCAGCTTAGCTCACTTGCGCCCTACCCTCAACAAACCATTTCAACCCTTAAAGCTTCACCTTATTTATTGTCTCACTAAAGGAACCCTTGCAAGGATATACTTTTACTCATTCAACCCTTGAACCTTCCCACGTTCCCACAAAACATAGCCCTCTTCTAAATTCCTAAAAGGCCTTGCCCAACCACCCCCGCAATATTACACCAATGAATTTGTGCATTAGACAGGTTTATTCTATACTTCTGTAGCCCATTGGAAAATGCTGTATTTTCAAGATTGAGAGATCCGTATATTTCATAATCTAACGCGCATCATTATAAAAAGGATTAAATTGGATGTAAAAACAGCAACTAAATGAACAATTGAGAACTAATAATGAACAATAAGCATAACAATATACATAAAAAAAAGGGAATTCATATCAACATTTACTGGCCTAAGTACTGAAACTTTAGATGGAATTCCCTTAATATCCACAGCCAGATCTCAAAATCTCAATGTTGTTAGAATACTAATGACCAAAAAAGGTTTGGGCAAGAAAAATCTATATACTGCACCTGGAAGGGTTGCCGATGAGCCTGCACTGTTCCGGAAGCAGAGAGCATAGAACCTGCCCATTTACAGGGAGAAGTTCACCGTCAATGCCGCAGGCAGCATGGGATTTCTTTCCTGGTCTAACCTTCACCGACTTCACCTGAAGATAATATGGTAGATCCGAGTTAGAAAAGTTGGCTTGATTCAGGATAAAAGAAAGGTGATTCATGTTGCAGAACTATGCTAAGCTAAAATTGGATAAATACATGGTATTATATGATATATTATATTGCATATATTATTTATTGTCAAGATATAACATTTATAGAAGCACTTGGGGAATCAAGTCAAATTTGAAACCGATTTAAGGGAGTGAAGCACAAAATCTACTTCAAGCTCTGTTATTTTTCAAAGCCAATAGAATAGCAACTGCACTAAGGCCAACATTAGTTGATTTTTGCTATTGCTTGAATATACATTTTAAGGGAACAATATCAATTTCAGGATGGAAACACATTTTTGTTAAAAACTAAACTTCATGAGACAAAAATACTAATGATGAAATTAAAAGCACAACTAAATATTCATACGCTTTTCTTTGGAACAGCTATGGAGAAGCTTCATAAACCAATGCCCACTTTTAATGGATGGAGTAAATAAGTCTTCTTTTACATTAAAAAAAAGCCTACATTTTCCTATATGAATTATCCTATAACTATTTAAATATAAATCTAACTTTAATTCAATTCATTCATTTCATAGCTTTTCGACCGAATTTTTATGCTGGCAGACAACAACCAAACGAAACAAATCATTTTCACATCCGAGGCTTTGGACTAGATAATTTAATTCATATATGCATAAATTATTAATCTTACAATGTATTTTAAAATAAATATAACAAATATTTTTTTTTTAATTCATAATCATATCTGTTATTCATCTAATCAATTCACATTACAATCGCAACCATTTTTACCAAACAGATCCATCTATCACAGCAACTTGATTATTCAATCATTTGGTTTTACTGAGCACAATAAGCACAAGACAACAAAGTCAAACATGGCCTAAGTTCAACTATTGTTGTGAAGACCACATCCTCATAATAAGAAAGCAAGAGCTTGTAAGAAGGAAATCGAAGGTGAATGTTACATGAAGAAAAAAAGGATAATGGGTGATGAAATGACTATTATATTTAAACTTTTAAATCCACTATAAAATCAGAAAATTGAAAAAAATAATAAAAAAATAATAAAAATAAAAAATAAAAAATATAACATCAAGGTTTCCCACCACAAAAAACATTAATATGATGATATCCGTTGTAGGAAACTTGACAGAAATACCTTAACCTGAAAAGTTCTGCAAGATAAAAAGCTCATTCCTAAATAATTTGGAAATCAATTTGCTGTAATAGCAGGTTGCTTGTTTCTGCAATAGAAGTAAAAGAAATTTACCTTTACATATTCGACAAATGGTAGCCGACAAAATTGCAAGCGCCAAAAGAACCTCATTAACCTTATTCTCCCATGACCATGAATCAAAAGCAAGTCCAAACTGTTATCATCAATCTGAGCTTTGGGTGCTACAACCTGAGAACTTAAACTTTGGACAGTTTTGCATGAATGGTTGCATACCAAAACAGCAAGAAACTTCCCTTTCTTAACTTCCCACTTCACCTCCGCCTTAGGAACAGGTTCCTCGAATGGCGTTTCAACATTTTGAGATTGATCTGGAAGCTGAATGAGATTATTTGGTTCCCAATTAGGCTCAGAGTCCCATTTTGGTTCAGAGTCCCAAAGAGGTCCGGGGTCGGAAATAGTTGATGAATTGTCTTCTTTATCATACACTGCCGTAGGGGCCCAAGAAAACCTGGATGTATTTCCAGCTGGTAAACCGCTCCAGCCTTTATCAGTCCTTGACTTAGATCTAGTCCTTGGCCAATTAGGAGTAGTTGAAAGATGATGTTGGGGGTGAAGGACTTCTTCTGGTTCTTCTGCTAGATTGTTTCTCCCTATTGATAGTCTTTTTAGTTTCGGATCTAGACCTCTAACATATTCAGATGGCTCAATGCTTGCAGGTATGCTGCCACCAGTTGCCTCCAAGTCCACACCTGATGTCTTACTTGGGGAGAAACCAGAATCAATGCTTGACAAACTGGAAGCCCGAGGGAGTCCTTCTCTGCTTGATTTCCGCATGATATCTGTATAAAGATCAGATAATTCAACTTTATCTTGATCATCTAAAGCCTTTCCCTGAGCCTCGAGCAGCACCTTTGATGTAGGAAGATATTCCAGCTCAAAGTTATATTTGGGTAAGCACAAAAATTTCAGAAAGCCAGCCGCAAAATAGCGGAGAGGACCACAATGTTTCTGGTATTTCTCAGAGAGTTCCAAAACTACAAAAGCGGAGAGGACAAGAAGATTAAGAAAGAAAAACTGTAATCATCATCAGCATAGAATTTATTGCTTGACACCAAATTGAGAAGATTGTGTCAACCGCTATCATGGAATTATTTCATAATTTTCCTGAAAAAATACAGGATCAATTTTGACATAAAAAAAAACATAAATTTCATTTTCCAGGTTTTATTTTAAGCAAGTTGGGATCAGTAAACAAGAATATATATCCATGTATATTAGAAGGAGGGAATCCCTAATGAGCAACAAGATGAGATTCTCATACCTTATGATGTATGGAGAATATTATAAGCAAAAGGAAATAAAGTGGAACACAAGCAGAAGCAAGTCATATGCATACTTGTGGATATGCATATGAAAGCGCAAGAGTGAGTTTATGTGTTAAACATTATGCCTTCCGTAAATGCCTAACTCCATTTAGTTTCACTAATTTGAATATCAAGCTAGGGTTACAACATCTATGACCCAAATTGAGGGGGAGCGTGAAATTCTGAGTTTCTTATTTTAAATTTATTCTCATTCATTCCTTTCTTATTATGTTAAATTTCTTCTCTTTTGTTGGTTGTGTGTTTGGTAAGTTGTAATGGTAGAAACTAAATTTTCCCTAGCCTTTACTTATTATATAAGGAGAATTGTTGTAAATTGATAATAGAGAAATATAAGAATATAATTTCTCCACTGTTCTACAAATTTCAATATGTTGAAAAGTTACATAATGAAAGAGCATTAGATATTAGTTGTATGATTTGATGCTTACCTAGATGGAAAGCAAGAGAATGGTTAGCTACTGAGAGACAGTCTCTCCTTGGATGGAAATCAGACTAGAAAGAGTAGTTATATGGTTTGGCTAGTCCCTGGATGTCAAGAAGGTCGACGATGTGTTGTTGCAGTTGGACCATAGTATGCAAAAAAAGATTTAAAGGGACATCAATGGTCTACTTCACCCAGCTTTATATTAGTTTTTTTCTGAAAAGGACAATTGTGATTACTGCTATAATATTCCATAATTTCCTTTTCTTAAGAATTGTGATGTCATAACTTCTAGTTTTCTTATAATCTGCATAAAGGCCATTTAACCAGGTGGGTAAGCATGCAATACTATTTTTGTTTCATTTCTCTCCATCTATTTCTTCAACTTTAACATTGTGTCAAAGTAGTTTTCTTGGAATTCGACCATTAAGCAAAAGTAAAGAGGATTGTCTAAATAAAAAATAAATAAACAGAGAGGAGTATATTTAGTAGTACCAAGAGTTCTGTCCAAACCGAAGAGATGACCCTTGCTCTTATAAGATTGGAGTGGATAAAAGGGCACAATTCATGATATAATGTCAATAGATAGATCAATAAAACAAGGAAAATCTGTTGGAAACATCCTGAAAAGACAATTCATTGGAGCATTCCATCTAATACTAGAAATCAAAACAAAGACACTAATACCTATGCAACCAAAATCAAAGGACTAAATTAAAAATGGGCGACAACATAGATGAAAATTTCACAAGTAAAGAACCCTTGTACCTCCTTTATAAATTACACGCTCCTAAAAACTCCTTTCTAATGTCCCAGAAAGATAATTTTTATTTGTTGTTACATATATAATACTAGGTCGAGAATCTAGGGTACTTGATTTAAGAGCTTCGTATTACATGCTAAATTGTGTTCACCTATTCTAGTCTTAAATCTTAAAATCAAAATAATTTATGAATAGCTGTCACCAGTTACTGGGACATAAAACTATTAGAGTTACCTCTAAACTCTTCCTAACTCTATATTATATGTCCCCAATTTCAATTGCAATTTATGCTGAGCAGTATATCTAAAAATTGTCATTCTAACTCTATATAATATGTCCCCAATTTCAATTGCAATTTATGCTGAGCAGTATATCTAAAAATTGTCATTGTAGAATTATTCTCACTAAAAACAATATGAATTTCAAGATTAGAGCTTCATGAAAAAGATTGGTGATGCTAATGAGGTTGGAGGACTATGCTGCTTTGACGAGGAGCCGAAAGAGAGTACAAAAGCTCTTATTATAAAATGGGAATCTTCTACTCTTACCAGGAAAGATCAAATTATGTTGTGGCATACTTGGTTTATCATCCTTTTTTTTCCTTATCTTAAGAATTCGCTGATTTCTTGTTTGAAAAAAAAAATTCTTAGAATGTGAAGTCTATCAATTTCCTAATAAATAAATATCTTTAGACTAAGCATTATCAAGCTACGAAGTTTTTTCTGTAGTTCATGTTGAAATTTTGGAGGGGCTCTCAAAATGTCAAAATTATTATTCCAAATGTTGGTTCATTAATTTTATAAATGATCATAGTTGTGTGTTGGTTCTATCGTTTAAAGACAATTGATATACAAATCCTATAATTTGATAGAGCTTATGGCATTCGTTATCCTAATACATCACAATAAAAAGATATAGTTTAAAATATCTTTTGAAAGTGGCATGATCTATTATGTTTGCCATGAAAAGCCTTAAGCTTTTCTAAGATTATGTCATTTTAGTAACATGTTACATTACAAATTGAAAGCTAACAATTCTCTTCAATTCCGATCACCTATCAAAGTTCTTTCAAATGATTTCTAAACATCCACACTATTTACAAACTCTTCCTTAATGTCTTTAGGTGTATTACCAATGTACGTAAATATAAACCCAAAAGAAATAGACTCAATCCCAAGATTATCCAATGAATCTTTTGTGAATATGATGCAAATAAAAAGAATATGCATTTTATCTCTTTGAAGATGAAGGTACTTTTCAACATTTTTCTTAAGAGATTCTCAGTCCTATGCACAACTACAATTTATAAATTTTTGGGTTCTTAACTATTAAAGTCTAGAATGCACTCATAAAACACTTAATGACTTTATCTAATCAAAAAGCTTAACAAACTTACAACATCCTCCTCAAATTCGGCTATATTCTCAACGAAATAATGTATAAAGAATATGATAATCACAAAAAATGTCCCAAATCTTTCTTTGATTATGATAATCACAATTTCTTTTTTCAATTAGATATCAAAAAAAGGAGTCGCTTTTATACTTAACATATTATGAGACATTACCGCCTATCCTCAATGAAAATTCTATTTTTCAATTTTACATAAATTAAAATATCAAACACTATAGATGAGGCTCTTGATAAGCTAGTGGAGAAGGGTTGTGAAAGATGAAATGAAAGCTCTAAATAAAAACTAATCATTAAAAGTTGTTAAAACACTGCATAGTTCAATCTATTTTAGATATAAATGAATATTCGGAAACAAAAAGATACACTACTCGAAGACCATCTCTACAGTGCAAAATATAATATAACTCAGAGCTCTCCTCTAAAATGACAACAAAACTTGACTAGCTTCTTTATCAACTAGATGTAGAATATAAGGAACTCTACATGAATCTAATTCTAGGACTTCGAAGCTATGAGGATATAGGGTAAGCATACAAATTAAAATAATCTATTCAGATCTCTAATAGTCACCTAGAGGATAGTTATAATGGTTTACCAAAACTGTGCAGCAATAAGGACTCAAATAAGCACATTTGAATCACATTGTTCTTAAACACAAGAATAATAAGTTGAACATATTAACTATATATGTTGATGATATCATCTTAATAGGGAGTTATGATTTTGAAAACTATGCCTTGAAGAAAATAGCGAGAAGTTTTTAATTAAAGATTCTGGTCCAGTCAAAATAATTCTTGATAAAGGGATTGATAGAAACAAAAATGGTAATATCATTTCTCAAAGAAATGATACTCTTGATCTCTTAAAGGAAACTATTTTGATGGAGAACAAATTAGCTAATGCTCTAGTAGATTCAAATATAAAATTGAATCCATAGCATAAATAATTCAGTTGATAAGAGTAAATACCAAAGCTTAGTTGAGAAGATCATCTATTTTACTCATATTAGGACTGAACATCGCCTTTATTATTAGTATGACAAATTAGTTCATGCATAGATCCTATGAAGAGCAGCTTTACATTGTTACGGGGATACTATTAGTCATTGAAAGGGAACTAAAGAATGGTCTCTTCTTTTAAGAAGAAAAAGATCCCCAAAAATAAAAGCTTATATTGATGCTAATTGGGTGGTTTTCACTATTAATAAGAGATCTCCAACTAATTATACTCATGTTTAGAGCAGTATAAGGATATGGAGAAATAAGAAGTAAAATATTGAGACCAGAAAGGGTGTAAAAGCCGAACTAATTAAAAACATTGGCTAATGAGATAAATGTATTAATTTGACTAAGTTACTCCTAGAAGAACATCAAGTTTCTGTCAAAATCCCTATCAAGTTATATTGCGACAATAAAGCTGCTTTCAATAAATATCATAACCTTATCAGTCATGAGCACACAAATATATGGAGGTAGACTGACTCTTTATAAAAGAAAAAATCTTGATCAAAGGATGTTGGGTAATGTAGAGACCCGGTTCGCCGAATTTAATTAGCTTCTTAATTACGTATACCACCTACCGTCACCTACCACACCCACCTACCGCTCGCCTACCACATCCCACCTACCTACCTCCCACCTCCCATCTACCGCTCTCATGGTTTTTATAAATAGCCTCTTTTGGCTTTAAGGAGATGTCAAGCCTCAAGCAAAACAAAGCCAAGCAAGACCAAGCCAAGTCATCTTGAGAGCTAAGAGAAAGAGAGGAAGAGAGAGAGAGAGGAAGGGAGAGAAGAAAATAGATATTTTTTTGTAATCGTTGATGCGCTCGAGGGTGTAATTCCTCGAAGAAATAAAATCCTCTGCAGCTCCGTGAACGTAGGCAAATTTGACGAATCACGTAAATACGTGTATCGCTCTGGTGTTTTTTCTGCGTGCAATTTTTCTCGTTCCAATTTTTTGCTTTATTTCCGTCGTTTTTGAGAGTTAATGCGAAATTATGTTGCATGTAACTTTGGGAAGGTACATCTGGCTGATGGAACTGGCTGATGGA